GACGAATAGATGGAGCAAGGAAGACCATGAAACATAGTTTCAATACTTCCTCTCCAAAGTCAACCACTAATTCTGCTTTATCACTTATAAAAACTTGGTTTTAGCTTTGATAATTTTTTGGCATTTAGATATGCCTGATTATTGCTTAATGTGTTGGTCTATAATAATATTGCAGAATAATCTTGTAGATGAGTTAGTGGATGAGGAAAAGAATCCCATATCCTATTTGGAACATGATGAACCCAAGTGCTTGAGGCATTACATTTCTAGAGATTCAGTCCAAACCACCCCATGAAGAAGAAAGTACATGCAGCACTATGTATGAGTCTCTTTTCATCCTCTGGCTCTGGTCTTCACATACTAGATAACAAATTAAAAATAAAAAGTGAAAAATTCTACCAACCAAACCTACTTATTTTTTTTTCTTTAGGAGGATGGATTGACCATGGTTTTCTTTCTTTCTTTCTTTTTATTTTTGGACCAACATTTCATGTCAACCTAGCTAGCTGTCTAATTGAACATCTGAATAGAATATGATTCTAATCTCAAAGTGTCAACACATTTCTGGTATCAACCTTTGAAGCAGCTGATATTGGAAAAGCAATATAGCATACTGCATGGAGGTTGCTGTAGAAATTTCTGGGAACTTTGGCATTTTTGAGGAAAAATTGTCCTGTAGGCCTGACAAGTTACAATGAACTTCACCCAAAGCACAACCCTGATGATGAATCCCTATAGTATCCGTGGGACAGTAAAAAATCAAAAGGATCACTTGTACACTTTGAGTTGATAGAGAGCACAATATGATTGACATCCACATCCCATTCCTAAATTATTTTCAGTAAAACATTTCGGTTTGTTTTCCCATGTCAGAAAAAAACCCTCGAAGGGAAACATTCAAATGGGAAACATGCTGTAGTTTGAAGATTTTTGCCACTTTTTAGTTGTAGGTGCTGGAAATAACAGTAGGAACTACTGATAATCTGTATAGTTTTGTAACTAACAAAAAAGTATAAACCTATGCTATTTGAATTGATCAGCATATCACACAATCAAAAAAACAAGTATAAATTTAATACCTTTTGGTATTTTGTTGATTTGATTTCTCAGAGAAGGCAAATCTTTTGCAATTATAGCATTGGTATCATCACCTTCATCTTCATCTGCCTTGGATTTCATGGTTAATTGCTTCACAAGGACTAGAGAAAACAAAAATTGATGAATACTCATTTACAATTTTGTTTCCCAACATATCCAGGTTGATGGCATTATATGGCCGGTGGATAAGATTTACAGCAAAGAAAACAATGGGTTGTCAAAACTGTATGAGTTTTAGAAATTTGAAAGAGATCATGCTTAATATGAAAAAACAATAGGCTGTTAAAATAGTGTATTTGGAAACAATGAGCTATTAAAACCGCCTGTTCTAGAAGCCTTATCAAATAAGATTTACGACAAAGAAAACAATGAATTGTCAAAACTGTGCGCTATTTCAAATATTCGATAAGAGATTAGGCTTAACATGAGAAAAACAATGAATTGTCAAAACTGTGCGCTATTTCAAATATTCTATAAGAGATTAGGCTTAACATGAGAAAAACAATGGATTGTCAAAACTGTGTGCGCCGTTTGAAAAATTAGATAAGAGATTAGGTTTAACATAAAAAAAAATAATGGTACTGTGTGTACCGCTTAAAATATTTGATAAGAAATTAGGTTTAATATAAAAAAAATAATTAGTGTACTTTAAAATAATGGACAATCGAAATCACGTGTTTTTAATTAGAAGCTTTATTAGATAACTCAAACTCTTAATGAAAGATGGCCCCTTGACTAACAAAGCGACAACATAGTAATGACGAAGCATAGGACCCAGCAGGCATTGTTGGGCCCAACAACTAATATGGCAATGAGCCATAATATAGCATGGGCCCATTGTCACCCATAGTGTACTTCTTTTGGATGCCTTCCGTACTAATCTATTGAGAGAATGGTGACGACATGACTGAGCCTTACCAATTCTGTTAGGAATATATTCTGTCTCTAATTCCATGGTAACATGATCTTTGACAAGATTAAAGATAGAATATTGAGAGATATTGTCCCTTGCTATTGCTAAGTTTATAATAATAAAAAAAAAACACTCCACAGCTAAATTTTAATGTCTCCATATTTTGTATCAAAATCTACGAGAGACTTTAGTGCTTTCTGATCTTAATTACAATAAAGAAAATAATTGGTTATTAAAATTATATTTCGAAATCAATGGCTATGTGGCTAGTGGTCCAAAAACTCTCTTATAAGTGGGAGGTTGTGATTATGGTATCACTTGTAACCTTAAAGTCATTAGTGTCGATCCCTTTCATTCAAGCAAAAAAAAAGATTACAGGCCTGTTTGTTTTTGTTCTTTGTTTTCTTATTCTCAAAATAATTTTATAAAAAAAAAATTTGTTTGGAAATAATTTTTAAGAAATCACATTTGAAAAAAATATAAAAAAGTACACTTTGACAAGTGGTAGTTATCACCAGTAGTGATAAGTAGTAGGTAGTAGAGGAGAAGAGAATAAGATTTCTCTAATTTTTCAAAACAAAAAGATAAAAAACACAAAACAAAAAAAAATGTAAAAGTTGTTTTGGTTTTTCAGTTTTTAAAAACATATTATTGTTTTTTTGTTTTTTAAAACAATTAACTAAAAATGCATTGCCAAACAAGGTTTTTTGTTTTTCTGTTTTTAAAAACAAAAAATTGTTTTCAAAACAAGAAATCAAACAAGCCCTATGTTTCTGAAATTTCACTAAGCATTAAACTTAAGACAAGGAAAAAAAAGGGGGGGATATTGAAGCTGCATATTTTGAAAACTGTACAAGATGGATCAAACTTCTTGTAATAGACCAACAACTATTATAGTTAAAAAAGAACGCAATATTTCTTCAAATTTGAAGATTGTGTTTTGAACTTGGGAATTGGAAATGATGCGGAAGATATGTACTTAGTTGTTTTTTAGGTCTTGAGTATTCAGATTGGACAACTAAAGCATTCTCATTTCCAAAGAAACACTAGTTGATATAGGTAAGTCCTCCTACTCTTTTTGGCCTTATTTTTAAGATTTTTGTTTCTTTTTGTATTTTTTTATTTCAGATTTGGTACTTGTGAAATCCTAGCATTATATACTGTGTTATTATGATATTAGATATGTCTTACTTTTAATTGCATGCTACCTATATTATTGACCAAAAAAATAATCGAATAATTCAAAGCGAAGCAATATATACACTTGCATACATGTACTATAGATTAACTAATTACTTGCACCCATCTTCTTTATTATGAATTGAAAACCTTATTCATACTGCTAATGGCCTTGTGACCTAGTGGGATAATTATTTAAATAAAATATTATCCATATTCATTCATGAAGGCGACACTAACATATGACAGTGATGTCCATTTCCAGCCAGAACAAGCTACATAGTTCATCTTCATTATTCCCTTTATGGCAAATTCTATTGATAATTCATGACCACTTCAAGAAGAAGAAAATAGGACAATACTAAATATGAGTCCCGTTCCATCCTACAAAGAAAGCCACTGAACATAACTTCTTCACTTCTCCAAAATCAACCACCAATTCTGCTTTATCACTCATAAAAACTTGGTTTTACATGGATAATTTTCTGGCATTCAATTTCGCCTAATTATTGCTTAATGTGCTGGTCATGGACAATTATATTGCAGAACCTTGTAGATGAGTTACGGAACAGGGAAATGAATCAAACATGCTGTACTAAACATGATAAATTAAACCAAAATGCTGGAAGCACTACATAGGAGACGCGACATTTCAACTAAACAGAAGCAGGCATGATGAGTTTGAAGATGAGGAACTAACTGACACCAATGCAGTTGAAAATGGGGCATTATCGCCTCTTTTTGAAACCTGAAACAAAGGAATTGCTGTGCAATTTAGGCTTCGATGGTTACCATATCCAATTTAAATTTCCTGGTACAATTGGTAATAGACTAGTGAGGTATTTGTCATGTCCTCTACAAGTTCAAATAGTCATACGCAGGTAGCTCGCAATTATGTTGTCACTTTAAGAATTTGTAATAATGTGTTTGTTATTGTATTCGTAATGTATTTATTGTGACCCCTGTTCAAAACTATTAGACCCTTGCTGTCATAAGAATGGATTTATACTTGAATATGAAAATAAAAGCTAAACACATTACCATTAGAGGTAAAACATTATTCTAATACATCAAATATTTTTGCCACTATTTATTTACAGGAATTACCAATGATTTGTGTGGTTTTGCAAGGAGGAAAGAAGCATAAACCCACACTATTTGAATTTATCAGTATATGGAATAGCCTAGGAAAAAAGTTTAAATTGAATACCTTTTGGTATGTAGTTGATTTGATTTCTCTGAGAAGGCAAACCCTTTGTAGTTGTAGCAATATTGGTATCATCACCTTCGTCTTCATCTACCTTGGATTACATTGATAATTTCTTCATAGGACTAGAGAAAACAAAAATTGATAAAGATTCGTTCACAATTTTGTTGTCCAACATATCCTAGTTGATGGCATTATATAACCAATGGATAAGGTTTATGACAAAGAAACAATAGGTTGTTAAAACTGTGTGCACTTTAAAAATTTGAAAGAGATCATGTTTAACACAAGTAAAACAATTGGTTTCTAAAATAGTGCATTTGGAAAAAATGAGCTATCAACACTGCATATTCTCAAAGCCTTATCGAATAAGATTTATGGCAAAGAAAATGATGGATTATCAAAATGGTGTGCGCCACTTCAAATATTTGACAAGAGATTAGTTTTAACATAAGGAAAACAATGGGTTACCAAAATTGTGTGCGCCGCTTCAAAATTATTTAAATAAAAAAAATCTTATCCATATTCATTCATGAAGGCAACAACACAAAATAACATTAGGAAAGAAATGAAGAAAAATTTCCCCCCAAACAAGCCATATCAGAAAATTATGCATGTGTATAGTACAGAAGGAACTATTATAAAAGAGAAGGTTGGGCTACATGACAAACAATTTCTTTTAGCCTTTCTGTTGCATTTATTCACAAAGACCTTTACATATTTAACATTGCATAGTTCAAGGAAACAGGTGACAGTGTCCGTTTGCAACCAGAAAAGCTATATAGTTCATCTTCATTATTCCCTTTGCGGCGAATTCCATTGATCGTATATGACCACTTCAAGAAGAAGAAGATAGGACAATAATCTATGAGTCCGATTGCATCCTACAAGGAAAGTCACCAAACATAGCTTTCGCATTATTATCCAACATGCTGTAGATAAGTTTCTGAACAGGGAAATGAATCCAACGTGCTGTACTGAACATGATAAACCCAGGTGCTGGTAGTACTACATATAGCACACGTGACTTTTCAACTGTACAGAAGCAGGCATGATGAGTTTGAGGATGAGGAACTCACTGACATTGAGCCAGTTAGAAATGGGGTATTATCCTCTCTTCCTTAATCCTGAAACAAAGGAATTTGTAATGTGTTTGTTGCTGTGCGTAATGTACCTGTCATGATCCTTTTCAAAACTATTAGACCCTTCCGGTAATGGCCAATAAGAGCAGATTTACAATAAGAGGTAAAACAGTATTCTGATACATTAAAGATTTTTGCCACTTTCTAGCATGACTTACCGATGATCCATATAGTTTTGTGAGGAGTGAAAAAGCAAAAATTCACACTATTTGAATGGATTAGTATATCAGATAGCCAAGCAAATGAGTTTACAAAAATTTAGTACCTTTTGGTATGTTGTTGACTTGATTTCTCTGAGAAGGCAAATCCTTTCTAGTTGTAGTACTGACATCATCTCCTTCATCTTCACCTGTATTGGATTTCATTCGTAATTAGTTGGCAAAGACTAGAGAAAATAAAAATTGATAAAGATTTGTTTACAATTTTGTGCCCCAACACGTTGAGGTTAATGACGTTATATAGCTGGTGGATAAAATTTGAGGCATAGAAAACAATGGGCTGCTCAAACTATGTGCACTTTAGAAATTTGATAGAGACCATTTTTAACATAAGGAAAACAATGGGCTGAAAAAAGAAAAAGAAAAAGAGAGCTATTAAAACTGTGTATTCTACAAGCCTTATTAGATAAGATTTATGGTAAAAGAAAATAGGAAATAATAGGTTGTCAAAACCGTGTGCGCCACAAAAATTTGATAAGAGATTAGGTTTGACATAAGAGAAACAATAAGCTTTCAAAATTATGTGCACTGCTTCAAAACTTTAATAAGAGATTATATTTAATACAAGAAAAATAATGTGCTGTTTTTTTTTCTTACCAGAAAAAATAATGGGCTATTGAAACTTTGTGGGCTGCTTTAGAAATTCATAAGGATATTCAATTTGTCCTGTTCCGATCATCCTATCTTGGTAATGATGAGTTTTAGAGGGTATGGGACAAAAAAAAATTTCATGACGGGACAAAAATTTTTTGGGACAAGACAGGGGACAGGGTCGTACTGTACCGGATTTTTTTCTTTTAAAAATTATTTATTAATAATTATTATTAGATTATTTGATTTACATATTCATAACAATTACTATTTTTATAGTGATTTTTAGCTCTTAAGTTGTAGTATTATTTTAACAAAATCTTCTTCCTCAATAAAATAATTCATAAAGTCATCATATAGTGTTTCTTTTATGGTTTTTTTTAAGTATTGTTTTTACACCTTTTTTATACTATATAATTGAGCTTTCTGTATAATATTTTCTTATAATGTTTCTATTTTTAGAAGCCCAATAAAAAATAAACATTATAACATAAAAAATGCATATAAAAAATTATAAATTTTTTTTAAAAAAAGGGAAGCGGGATGTCTCGGTTTCATCCCGGTCCTGATGGGACCAGGATAGAATCAGGATAAAACAGGACACGGGACAAAAACCTTGTCCTGTCCTTGCTCACTAGGATAGGACCGACATGTAAACACCCTTAGAAATTCCAATGACAAACTTATCTGTCACCAATTTACTACATATTAGATATCTCTTACTTTTAATTGTATGCCACTTATATTATTGACCATGAAAAAATAATCGAATAATTCAAATTAAAGCAATATATATGCATGGATACATGTACCATAGATTAACTAGTTACATGCACTCATCTTCTTTATTGTGAACTAAAAACCTTATTCATATTGCCAATAGCCTTGTAACCTAGTGGCTCTTATTCATATTCATTCATGAAGACAACAACCCAAAATAACATTAGGAAAGAAATGAACAAAATTTTCCCCCAAACAAGCTATATCAAAATCTATGAATGTTTATAGTACAAAAAGAACTATTATGAAAGAGAAAGTTGGGCTCTATGAAAGACAATTTCTTTAGCCTTTCTGTTGCATTTATTTACAAAGAGCTTTACATATCTAACATTGCATAGTACAAGAAAATATGTGACAATGTCCATTTCCAACCAGAACAAGCAACATAGTTCATCTTCATTGTTCCCTTTGTGGCGAGTCCCATTCCATCCTGCAAGGAAAGCGACCAAACATAGTTTCCGCATTATTATCCAACATGCTGTGGATGAGTTTCTGAACAGGGAAATGAATCCAACATGCTGCACTGAACATGGTAAACCCAAGTGCTGGAAGCACTGCATATAGCACACGTGCCTTTTTTTACTGTATAGAAGCAGGCATGATGAGTTTGAAGATGAGGAACTCACTGATATTGACCCAGTTAAGAATGGGGCATTATCTTCTCTTCCTTAAACCTGAAACAAAGGAATTTGTAATGTGTTTTTTGCTATTTGTAATTTATCTGTTACGATCCCTTTCAAAAATATTAGACCTTTACAGTAATGGCTAATAAGAACAGATTTACAATAAGAGGTAAAACACTATTCTGATACATTAAAGAATATTGCCACTTTTTTGCAGGACTTACCAATGATCCAAATAGTTTTGTAAGGAGTGAAAAGCAAAAACTCACTGTTTGAATGGATTAGTATATCAGATAGCCAAGCAAATAAGTTTACAAAAATTTAGTACCTTTTGGTATGTTGTTGATTTGATTTCTCTGAGACGGCAAATCCTTTGTAGTTGTAGTACTGACATCATCTCCTTCATCTTCACCTGCATTGGATTTCATTCGTAATTGGTTCGCAAAGACTAGAGAAAATAAAAATTGATAAAGATTTGTTTACAATTTTGTGCCCCAACACATCGAGGTTGATGGCATTATATAACTGGTAGATAAGATTTAGGGCACAGAAAACAATGGATTGTTAGAACCGTGTGCATTTTAAAAATTTGATAGAGATTATGTTTAACATAAGGAAAACAATAGGCCGGAAACAATAACATATTAAAACCACGTATTCTAGAAGCCTTATCAAAAAAGATTTATGATAAAGGAAATAATAGGTTGTCAAAACCGTGTGCGCCGCTTCAAAAATTTGATAAGAGATTAGGATTAATACAAGAGAAACAATGAGCTTTCAAAACTATGTGCACCGCTTCAAAACTTTAATTAGAGATTACATTCAATACAAGAAAAATAATGGGCTCTTGAAACTTTGTGGGCCGCTTTAGAAATTCTAATGGCAAATTTATCTGTCACCAATTTGCTATCATTTTAGGAACCAGTTCTTTTAGGGGGAAAAAACTCCCGCCAGTAGCCGGTCTCGATGCCAAAGCTCGAGTGCGGGGCTTTTGGCACTAGTCAATGTCCGCTAGTGGGGTCGTCAGTAACGAGTTTGGGAACTTTATCTTTTTCAAAGAAGGGATATTTTATGTCATTTCGTTTTAATTTCAAAATGTCAATTTATGATTTTTTTTTTTTGCCCTTTTGGTGTTACGGATTATTACCCCTCAAATTGGCATTTTACTATTTCACTTCTTTTTTTTTTGTTATCTTCTGAAAAAATTTTATGCATATTTTTAAGGGCAACACCAACACAAAATAACATTAGGGAAGAGATGGAGAAAATTTTACACCAAGAAAGATAAATATAAAATTATGAATGTTTATTGTGCAAGAAGAACTCTCAGTTTTCACAATAATAAGTTGTGAACATGAAAAATTCACATGAGTGTAGAGATATGGGATATGAAAGGAATGGTTTGTTTTGTAAGAGGTATATTATAAAAATGGACAGCTATAAATTTCATATGTACATTTTTATTTACCTTTTTTGTTGTTAAAATGTGTATTTCAACTTGCAAATTTATCCATACGTACTCATAAATCTTTTATATTCACAACCTATAATTATAAAAATTGAGAGTTGTAAATTTTGATATGTAAAATTTTTATTTAGCTATTTTTTGTTGTTAAAAATATGTATTTCGATTTTTAAAGTAAATTTTTTTATATTCGTGAACTTTTATTATGAAGATTGAGAGTCATAAATTTTCATACGTACAATTGATATTTAACATTTTTTATTGTTAAAATGTATATTTCAATTTCCAACCTTACACATGAGGTTGTTAAAATATCTAGGAGCAACACCGTCAATTTTCTTTTGGACGAGCAAGGTGACTGCAATGAAATTTAAGATTGTCTTGGGCCAGACAAATAATTAAGTTCACATTGTGGGCCTTTTATGAAGTTCCCAATAAAATCAATCCTGCCGCGCGATTTGGTGAAGGCCGAAGAGAGAGGAAAGAGTCAGATCGTTCTTCGCAGTGCTCCTGTTTTTAATATAAAATTTTTTATTTTAATCTTAATTATAAGATTTTAATCTATTTTATATTTCATATTTATATTTTTTTTCTAATTTATATTTTTTAATAATAATAGTTCTAACTAATACATTTGATTAATAAGAATATTCTAAAAAAACAAAATCTATTTATTACAAATAATTAATTTAACTTATTTTTTAATTTTTTTAAATTAGTCAACTTACGCCTTTAACCCGACCTGTAGTACTAACCATTTACAGCGAAGAAAGCCACAGAAGCAGATTTTGTTTAGTTCTTTCCTTCCCATCGTCGGAAACAGATCGTCGGAAGTTGAGAGTAACCGATCACCGTTTTGGGGCAACAGATCTGCTTCTTCCTTTCACTGTGCTTTGCGATTTTACTTCCCGCAGTCAATCTTCTGTTTCTTTGGTTCATTTTCATTGGAGCTTTGAGATGTTCTTGAATTGATATACACACAAATAGTTGTTGGCTCAAATCGGAGCATTGAGTTGTTAGCTTTGATTGCATTTCAATCATATTAATGTGATTCTGTGAATCCGTATGTCAAATCTGGAATTTTTCTACGACCGCTGAACAATTTCGTCCTCCAAAGCCCGAAAACAGAGTCAACAGAGACGACAATTTTTGGGCTGTGAAATTTCTTTCTCTGAATTAAGTTAGCGGCAACAGAGGGGAAAAGCTTTTGGCGGGAAAAAACTTCGGTCATGTTGAAGGTTTATTTTCTGATTTCCCCCAATATTTAACGCAGCTTTTCACTTGCTCAAAGTTACTAGTGTTGCAACAAATTCAGAGTTAATCCTAAAGCTCCATGAAACGGAACTTTGAACATCCAAAAAATGGAAAGCGAGAGCTAATACTGTTTCACTGGCAAGCAGAATCTTCCGTTCGATCTGTGGATTTAGCTTCTGATGCTGTAAGTTTTTTTGTTACAAATATCCTTTTGATGATTCGATCAATCCAGAATCCAAAGGGACTCCTGGATTCAGGCAGTCTTGATTTCAGAGTCTTCATTCTTGGCTTTGTAATTTGGAGTTTTATGGTCCCATATTTGATCATCTTTGACATCAAATATTGTAGAACCTTGTACATGAGTCACTGAATAGGGAAATGAATCCAACATACTGTATTGAACATGATAAACCAAAATGCTGGAAGTACTACATAGCAGCAGACGTGACATGAGTATTCAACTGTGCAGAAGCACGCATGAGCTTGAAGACGAGGAACTAACTGACATCGATCCCAGTTGAAAATGGGCATTATTCACTCTTCCTGAAACCTGAAAGAAAGGAATTGTTGTGTAATTTAGGCTTCAATGGCTACCATATCCAATTTAATTTGTTTTTCCTGGTAAAACTGGTAATGGACTAGTGAGGTATTTTTTTATGTCCTCTACAATTTCATGTAGTCATATGCACGTAGCTTGCAACTATGTTGTCAATTTAAGTATTTGTAAATTAGCAAGGGAATAACACTCGTAAGCTAAATTTCAATGTCTCCATGTTTTGTACTAAAATTTATAAGAGACTTTATTACTTTCTAATCTCAGATACAGAAAAGAAGATAATTCGTTGTTAAAATTATATTTTAAAGTCAATGGCTATGTGGCTAGTCACCTGAAAAATCTCCTATAAATTGGATGTTGTGATTTTGATCTCACTTGCACCTTAAGCCATTCGTGTCTATCCTTTTGTTCAAAAAAGAAAAATTAAGTTCCTAAAACTTCACTAAACATTAGATTTAAGATAAGGAAAAAGGGGAGATATTGAAGCTGTATATTTTGAAAACTATACAAGATGGCTCAAACTTCTTGTAATAGGCCAACTATAATAGTTAAACGAAAACGCAATACTTCTTTCAATTTAAGGATCGTGCTTTTGAACTTGGGCATTAGAAGCGATGCGGAGCATATGTGCTTGGTTGTTTGTAAGGTCTTGAATATTAAGATTGGACAAGTAAAGCATTCTCATTTTTAAAGAAACACTAGAAATGATATAGGTAAGTCATCCTACTCTTTTGCGCCTTATTTTTAAGATTTGTGTTTTTTTTCCCCGTAATTTTGTTTCAGACTTGATACTTATGAATCAAAGCATTATTCTTTATTGTTATGATATTAGATATCTCTTACTTTTAATTGCATGCTACCATTAACTATTGAGAATATATATATTAACCATAAAAAATAATTGATTAATTCAAATTCAAGCAATATATACGTATACACGTACTTTAGATTAACTAATTACTTGCCCTCATCTTCTTTATTGTGAATTAAAAACCTTATTCATATTGCTAATATGGTGTTGTCGTCTAATAGCATAAAAACTTTGTTATAATTAGAAGGTCACAGATTTGATCCTACCTATAATTAATCTAATGTCGTTAGGGAGTAACTATTTAAATAAAAAAAAAATCTTATTCTCATTCATGAAGGTAACACTAACACAAAATAACATCATGAAGGAGATGAAGAAAAATTTCTCCCAAGCAAGATATATATCTAAAACTACTATGAATGTTTATGGTACAAAAAGAACTATTACGAAGGGGAAAGTTGGGCTGTATGACAGAAGTACAATTACTTTTGGCCTTTCCGTTGCACTTATTTACAAAGAGCTTTACGTAATTATTTAACTTTGCATAGCTTAGGAAAACATGTGACATGTCCATTTCCAACCAGAAAAGCTACATAGTTCATTTTTATTATTCTTTTTGCGACGAATTCCATTGATAATATATGGCCATCACTTCAAGAAGGTAGGACAATACTCGATATGAGTCCCATTCCATCCTGCAAAGAAAGCCACCAAACATAGTTTCCACATTATTATCCAACATGCTGTAGATGAGTTTCTGAACAGGGAAATGAATCCAACATGCTGTACTGAACATAATAAGCCCAAGTGCTGGAAGCACTACATATAGCACACATGACATTTCAACTGAACAGAAGCAGGCATGGTGAGTTTGAAGATGAGGAACTAACTGACATCGATCCAGTTGAAAATGGGCCATTATATATCCTATCTTCCTTAAACCTGAAACAAAGGAATTTGTAATGTGTTTGTTGCTGTTCGTAATGTATCTGTTATGATCCTTTTCAAAACTATTAGACCCTTACTATAATAACTAATAAGAACAGATTTACAATAAGAGGTAAAACACTACTCTGATACATTAAAATATGTTGTCAATTCAAGAGTTTGTAATGTCTTTTTGCTGTATTCGTAATGTATCTGTTATGGTCCTTATTGTAATAAGAACGGATTTACACTTGAATATGAAAGTAAAAGCTAAAACACATTACAATAAGAGGTGAAACCTACTCTCTGATACATTAAACATTTTTGCCACCTTTTATTTGGGACTTACCGATGGTCTATATAGTTGTGTACGGAGAGAAAAAGCATAAACCCACACTATTTGAATCGATCAGTATATCAGATAGGCATGGAAATAAGCTTAAATTTAATACCTTTTGGTATGTTGTTGATTTGATTTCTTTGAGAAGGCAAATCCTTTGTAGTTGTAGCATTGGCATCATCTCCTTCGTCTTCATCTATGTTGGATTTCATTCGTAATTGCTTTGCAAAGACTAGAGAAAATAAAAATTGATAGAGATTCGTTTACAATTTTGTGCCTTAACTCGTCTAGGTTGATGGCATTATATGGCTGGTGGATAAAATTTAGGGAACAGAAAACAATGGGTTGTTAAAACTATGTGCACTTCAGAAATCTGATAGAAATCATGTTTAACATAAGGGAAATAGTGGGCTGGAAATAATGAATTATTAAATCCATGTATTCTAGAAGCTTTATCACATAAAATTTACGGCAAAAGAAACAATGGGCTGTCAAAATTATGTGTGCCACTTTTTAAAAGTTTGATTAAGAGATTAGGTTTAATATAAGAGAAATAATAAGCTTCAAAACTATGCGTACGACTTCATCAAAAATTTAATAAGAGATAATATAAGAAAAATAATGGGCTGTCAAAACTTCGTGGGCCGCTTTAGAAATTTGAGTGAAACTTGTAATCTAGCGACAAATTTGTCTATTACCAATTTCCTTTGTTTTTTAGGGAACTGGTGGAAAAATCACCACTTTCCACTACTTCTAGGGGGTAAAAAGCCACTTGCAAGCAACTAGTCTCGATGCCGAAACTCTGCCGGGGGACCTTTGGCCTTAGTCAATGTTTGCTACTAGGGTCGTTAGTAAGGAGTTTGCGAACTTTCTTTTTCAAAGAAGAGACATTTTATGTCATTTCATTTTAATTTTAAAATGTCAATTTAAGATTTTCTTCTGTTTTTGGTATTACGAATTATTAACTTCCCAAATTTTTTACTATTTCACACTTCTTTTTCTGTTATTTTCTCAAAAATTTTTATCCATATTTGTAAAGGCACCACCAACACAAAATGACATCAAGGAAGAGATGGAGAAAATTTTACCCCAAAAAAATGTATATAAAATTATGGATGTTTATTGTACAAGAAGAACTCAGTTTTCATAATGATAAGCTGTGAACATGAAAAATTCACATAACTAAGTGTGTGGATATGTTATAAGAAAGGAATGGGGTATTTTATAAGAAGTATAATATAAAAATTGACAGTTATAAATTTTCATTTGTGCAATTTTTTATTTATCTTTTCTGTTGTTGAAAGTGAATTTCAACTTGAAAAATTATCCATAAGTACTCGTAAATCTTTTACATTCACAAGCTAGAATTATGAAAATTGAGAGCTGTAAATTTTTATATGTACAATTTTTATTTAGCTATTTTTTGTTGTTAAAAATTATGAATTCCGACCTTCAAATTTATTTACGACCGCTTGTAAATTCTTTAAGTTTGCTTGCATACTGTTATTATGAAAATTGAGAGTCATAAATTTCCATACGTACAATTGATATTTAACATTTTCTAGTGTTAAAATGTATGTTTCAACTTCCAACCTTATATATGAGGTTGTTAAAATATTTAGAAACAACACGGTCATTTTCCTTGTAAACTTGGTTTCATTTTGGGACAAGAAGAATGGAATGAAATTTCAGATTGTCTTGGGCCAGACAAATAATTAAGTTCAGATTGTGGGACTTTTGTGGAATTCTCCATAAAAACAATCCTATCCCGCGATCCATGAAGGCCGAAGAGAGATGAAAGAATCAGATCGTCCCTTTTAGTACTACCCATTCACAGCGAAGAAAGCAACAGAAGCAGATTGTGTTTATTTCTTTCCTTTCCATCGTTGGAAACAGATCGTCGGAAGTTGAGAGTAACCGATCGCCGTTTTGGCGCAACAGATCCACTTCTTCCTTGTCCTTTGCGGTTTTACTTCTCTTCATTTCAGTAAAAATTTCCTATTCGGTCAATCTCTTGTTTCTTTGGCTCATTTTCATTGGAGCTTTGAGATTTTCTTGAATTGATATAGTCACACATTGTTGTTGGCTCAAATTGGAGCATTGAGTTGTTAGATTTGATTGCATTTCAATCATATTAATTTGATTCTATGAATCCGTATGTCAAATCTGGGATTTTTCTACGACCCTGAACAATTTCTTCCTCCAAAGAACGAAAACAGAGTCAACAGAGACGACGGTTTTTGGACCGTGAAATTTCTTTCTCTGAATTAAGTTAGCGGCAACATAGAGGAAAAGTTTTTGGAGGGAAATAACTTCGGTCATGCTGAAGGATTATTTTCTGATTTCCCCCCAGATTCAACGCAGCTTTTCACTTGCTGAAAGTTACTGATGTGGCAACAAATTGAGTGGTAATTCTAAAGCTCGATGAGACCCAACTTTGAACATCCAAAAAAATGGAAAGAGAGAGCCAATACTGTTTCTCTGGCAAGCAGAATCTTCCGTTCGATCTGTGGATTTAGCTTCTGATGCTGTAAGTTTTTTGGTTACAAATATCCTTTTGATGATTCGATCAATCCAGAATCCAAAGGGACTTGTGGATTCAGGCAGTCTTGATTTCAGAGTCGTCATTCTTGGCTTCCTAATTCGGAGTTTTGTGGTCTCATATTTGACATCAAATATACGACTCAAAGTGCGATTTGGCTAAAAATTTGTCCCACTAATCTTCAGCTTTAACATTTGAAGCTTGTATTCTAAATTATCTTGTTCGTACTTTCTGAAAATTGAGGAAAATTGCACCCATAAAGCTAGCAAGATACTGTTTTTGTGAAGGAAAATGAATAGGAGGCTGGTCTTGAAGCATTCAGTTGCTCTTGTGGGCATGCTGGTATGTGTTAGTTGCTTTTTTATTGTGATTGTTACTGTTCTGAAGCTTCCGGAGGCGTCGCCTAGAAATAGGGAAATGGGGATTTACCATCCAACATTCAAATCCAGAAAAGTGCCTCAGAATTTCAAATTAGGTGAATTTGGAAAAATGATGGTTGAAATGTTACCTCAAGATCTTTCCTTCACTATTTTTATTCCTTCAGAGGAAGCTTTCAAGCGTGATTTGCATTTATCTGTAAATGACAGCTTGACACCAGAGAAATTTAACGATACCTATGCAATTCTCACTCGTATATTGGGATTCTCAGCTGTCCCTCGGGAGCTATCTTCAGTTGAGGTACCTCTTGATGAGCTGGTGTCCTATGATTCTTTATCTGGGTTCCAATTATACGTTGCAAAAGACATAGATAGAATGCTATCTGTGAACAGGATTCGATCAAAAATCACAGATATTAGAAAAAGGAAGATTGTTATGCATATTATGGATGGCGTTATTATGGATTCTGATTTTGAGCAATCTTTTCTATCTGATGATACTGAAGAGTGAAGACAATTGACTGTTCGCTGTTCTGGATCTATACTTCAAACTGCGCTTAACATAAATAAGGTTAGAGTTCAATTCGAGGGTTGAACATACATACACTCAGACCTGATAGAGATTTACGCAGAATTTTCTTTTTCATTTGAGGAAAATAGTTGGCATTGTTATTATTGCCATTTTCCTTACAGGAAAGTTATAAGGGTTGTATTGTATCATAACTCAGGCTAGCTTATACATGTAACAATGTTTGCGGAATTAGTCGACTTGGATGGTTCAATTTGTAACTTAAGCTGATTTGGCAAAAATGATTCTTAATTTGGTTCGTGCTAGTAATCTGTTTCTGGCAGGTGCACTTTCAGAATTAGAACAACTTGATTCAAATACAATAGTCATTACTTCCGCATCTGAATTTTGTGTTTTCCAGAGCACACCGCTTTTTGAGATTATGCTGGGAATATGTTGCTTCTGTAGATTTTTACAACCGTGTACTTTAGAAGTCCGATTAAAAAATTAGGTTTAAACTGTCAAAACAGTGAGCTTTTTTGCTTTGTTACGCGGAGCCATGTGGTAATTAACGACAGTGTTGGATACAAGAACACAGATGTCGGAGAGATCAACAATAATGACTGGGACAAGCTAGCTTATAAAAGTGACAGGGCGTTTGGAGCTTAACCCAATATCAAAAAAGTGAAAAAAGAACACAAAACAAAACAAAAAGCGCCCAGATAACAAAAGCACGCGCCTGGAAAAAAGAAAAAAGAAAGTGGCTTGACCTCTGTTTTTGAGACCCAAAACACAAGTGTTAATTTCCGGATCCTAATGGGTCAAAGGATACCTAGTAAATCCATGGGATTAAAAACCGGATCAGACAGCCCGAGTTGAGCCAGAAACCGGTGATCCAATCACTTGTCTGGTTCGACCAGGCCTCTAACTAGGGATAGCCCCACCGTAACCTGGGTAACTCGGTCATAGCCCGAGAGACCTGTTGGGTTGGGTGGGTTGCTGAGTCACTCCTTAAAAAAAAAATTATCCAAAGAATGCAGAGGCTTAAATCCTCTGAGAAAGAAGAAGCAAGTTTATTGTCAATTAGGAAAAAGAAGAAGGAAAGAAGTTTTCAATGTAGAAATCATAGAAAAGAGAAGAGAATGATTCTTAAGGAGTAAGAGCTTTTGTTGTTTGACAGTACCATGTATTGAGAAGAACACCATGTGAGGAAGAGCGCAATTAGAAAAACAAAGGAAGCACTTCTAGACCACCGGAGAAGACACATTGCTCAAAGAATATGAGAGGCAGAGAGCAAGAGAGAAGAAAACAAAGGGAGCAGTGGAGCACCGTGTAGAGTCAAACTGAAAAGAAAAACAGAGGGGGAAAAAAAGAAAAAGGTTGGTCATAATCATAGCCTCAAGCTGTTCCTTGACATGCATAGCATGTGGCAGTGATTTTTCCTCCTTTATTTTTCAAAGCTCGCCCATCCTCCTACATCAATCAATGCATCAGTGTATACAAATTATTTTTAATTATATAAGAAGGGGCAAATGGAAATTCATACAATTCTTTTATTTTTACTAAACTATATACCATATGATAATTTGAAAATATGTTTTATAATTAAATATAAGTATTTTGTGTACATTTTATATAAATTATATATTTTTAATTATTACTGGTCTGACTTCGAGTCAACTCTAATTTAACCCACTAACTTGATCGATTCAATGACCGGTCTTGTTTTCAATACATTAAATAAATCACAAACTAATAGAAGAAAATGGAATTTACTCCCTCCCTCCCTCCCTTATTATAAGATCCAATTTTTTGAATAGATTTGTCCATTTTTATAAGATCCTCTTTGATTTTCTCTGAGCATTTAATACAGTATTACCTATTTTATCCCTAATTTAATGTATTTAATACATTCTCTTTTTTCATTTATCTCACTATTACTCTTTCACATTTATCCATTTATATATAGGGGTATATTTGGGGAAAAAAACTATATGCGCTACATATTAATTGCTTTTAACTAATTTTAACTATTTTCTTAAACCGCACAATTTAGTTAGAAGGACCTTATAATAAAGGACAGAGTAGTAAAATACAAGGCCAATGAATCGCACCCAAATCGCCACTCTTGGGACGCATAAAACCCCAATTTTCCAATTATTAGTAATGTTGTCTTCCAAAATCTGAGCTTATAACTCCATTTACGGCTTGTTGATTTTAGTTTTTTCGATCCCATGTTTGCTCTAAATTCATACTAAACATAATCTTAAATTAAATATTTGAAAACTCAAAAGCATGATTCATAATTACAGTCCTTCAGTCCCTCATAATACTCTTCTGTTCTTACGGATTCCCAATCAGAGGCTTAGGAAACAATTAGTAATTAAATCTACATGTAGTTCAATACATACATACATATACACACACGCATATTCAAGGTAATTAATTATTACCATTGTTTTGGTACAAAAAAAGTCCAGGCGGGTTGGATTTCAGAAATTTACCAAAGTCAGGGCATGCCTTCTGACTTAGAAAATGCTAATAGAAATATATTACCTATCAACAAGGTTCTCACATCATAATGGGTTCTGAACTCATAGTCTTGCAGTTAGCCGTCTTCTTACTAAGTGAACTAATTTTTCTTAGGGTTAAGGTGCAATTTTAACAAAACAGTTTACCGTAAGGAGCACTGGGCACCATAAAGTTTATTTGGGTGCAAAAATATACATGAAGTTGTCAAAATGGAGCATCTGGCACCATGCCGTTAACGTCCGTCAGTTTACTGTTAGAGGGGCCCAGAAAGTCAGTTTTAAGGTGCATTTTTAACAACAAAGTTGCATCAAGGGGCATTAGGCACCATGAAATTTACTTGGGTGTAAAAATATAAATAAACTTTGTAAAAGGAAAAAAATAACAAAATTCTTCAACTTCCATAAACATCCATTAATTTTATTCTTTTCGGTCTCACCAAATGCTATATTTTCTCTCTATAAATTTCCACTTCCAAGCCGATCCATCTCTCTCTCATCATAGTCAACACACACCCACACACTCTTTGTCATGTTGTTTTCTGAGCCTCCAAGCTTTTTATATGTATTTAAACAAAACACATATTTCCCTTCTAGGATATGATATTTATTGTTTGCATCCAGATACTACCTCCAGTCCTTAATATAGGATGCAATGGACTAATTTGAGGAGATTAAAATAAATAAATAAATTACTTTAAATATTATATTATTTATTTATTTGACACAATAGCATATAGTACATGATCTCTCTAAAATATTTATATGCATCATTAAATTATATATTAGTTTACAAGCCAAGAAAATTAATTTGGAGAAAAAACAATAAATATAATATTTTAAAGTAATTTATTTATTTATTTTTAATCTCCTCAAATTAGTCCATTGCATCCTATATTAAGGACTGGAGGTAGTACTTGGATGCAAGCAATAAACCTCATATCCTAGAAGGGAAAGATGTGTTTTGTTTAAATACATATAAAAGGCTTGGAGGCTCAGAAAATGACATGACAGAGAGTGTGTGGATGTGTGTTGACTATGATGAGAGAAAGATGGATCAGCTTGGAAGTAGAAATTTATAGAGAGAAAATATAGCATTTGGTGAGACCGAAAAGAATAAAATTAATGGATGTTTATGGAAGTTGAAGAATTTTGTTATTTTTTTCCTTTTACAAAGTTCATTTATATTTTTACACCCAAGTAAATTTTATGGTGCCTAATGCCCCTTGATGCAAACTTTGTTATTAAAAATGCACCTTAAAACTGACTTTCTAGGCCCCTCTAACGGTAAACTGACGGACGTTAACGGCATGGTGCCAGATGCTCCCTTTTGACAACTTCATGTATATTTTTACACCCAAATAAATTTTATGGTGCCCAGTGCTCCTTACGGTAAACTTTTTTATTAAAATTGCACCTTAAACCTTTTTCTCAACAATTAATCATCATCATTGTTACAATATGTTTTATTGTCAAAAGGACTCTTCGAAAGCCCAATCTTCTCGCACGTACGCTTCAGTCGATCACAGTAACAGCAGAATACTCTCAAACATTGATTTGATGCACGCAGCTTCATCTGTCCACAACAACAGCAAACCTTATTCCATTATAAAAAGATCTTGAAGTTTAGCATTAACAAACCGTGGCTTGCCTTCTACAATAAAAATTCCAACAAGGGTTAAATTCACATTTTAAGCTCAATTATTTCACATATTTCAGCTTCTCCAATAAAAACTTCACCAACCTTTCCACATACATACGTGATTAGATCTTCTCTTAATCATACATTAATTTATAATATCAGTGCCATATATATATATATATATATATATATATATCAGGGAGATGTTTGTGTGAGTGTGTGTTGTATGTTCAAACTAACCATAAGAGGCCAACCAATTTCGATGGACCGTGAAAGGATTAAAAGTTTTATCAGTCCCATGCATTGAGGCTATTCTACATATAAAGAGTTAAAATACAGCACCAATCAATCACCCGCGTTGGCTAGATATGATTTTGATATCAAAAGGAAAAAAAGAATTAGACATAGATAGATGATTATATATATATGTGAGGGAAAATTGGTTATTAACGATAATAAGGGTACACAAACTCAACGATATTCTATTGATCTTATTTCTGTAAAGAGCAAGTCTTGTGAAATCCGGTGGTATCATTATTTTCTTCTTCTTCACCCTTAGATTTCATAAGCAATTTCTTAATGAAACCCCAAGCAATTACACTAATGATCAATTTGAAAGTTTGTGTCAAAACACATACAAATACATAAGCTAAAGGCTTGTTATAGATGCAAATAAGATTTTAAGATGGAGAAAACAGTGAGCTGCCTATGTGCTGAAAGTTTCATCAGATTTTAAGCTTTTGATTGGGGGAAAAACAATGCACGCCTTCCACAAGATTTCAGGATCTTGATTAAAAACAATGGGCTATTAAAACTATGTATTTTTTCAATATCATCAAATGACTCAAATCCCTTACAATAAAATGGCTTGGATTCAAATATCATCGACTGCATGAGTGGACAAAATGAATAATTTTAATAATCTTAAAAAATGTGATTTTAACATCAAATAATATGTCAAATAGCTTTTTTTTTAGGTCTTTTGAATGGTTGAGATTAAACAATGAAAGTAATATTACCTTTGGTCTTATTTATAAGACTTCGTTTGCTAATTATATACGAGATCTTATAATTAAAACCAGAGGTAGTATAATTATAAAAGTAATACTAGCGTGCTTCTTGTGCTAGATAAGTGTTTCCTTCACATGAAAAGTGTTTCCATTTTCTAATTTTGGAAACTAATTTTAGGGTCTTTTGACTTTTTTTTCACGATAACATAACCTATCTAATTTTGATGTAATGAGCCATCTCAAAAGAGTTTGCTTTCAAAGTTTCATCAATTCACTTAAGATCTTTTTGATGAATGACTAAGATTCACAAAGTCGTTAATTACATGAGTTGAGTAGACGAAACTTACCATTTTAATCATTTTGAAAAGTATAATTTAAATCTCTAAATGATGATATATAGTTGTTTTTCAGATATTATATATGAACGGTCGAAAGCAATACTATTGAGCTCCTTACACTAGATATTAAAAATAAAATAAAATAAAATGGACATGAATATATGATTAATTTAATTATCATTATAGATTTCCCTTATGAAAAATATTTCCCCTTTGTAGCCATGAAAACCAATTGTGTATGATCTCTTCTTATTGATAACTCAACTACCAAACTTGGATCTTTGGAATGCGTTACATAGGTGGGTTTTGACATTAAAAGTTTCATCAAATCACTCAATTTGCTTTTGATGAACGGCTAAAATTCGCACAGCAATCAATTACATGACTAGACGAAAGGTACTATTTAAATGATATTGAGGGTTATTAATTATAACCCAGATCAGTTGGGTCCATAATCCACAAAATGAAAAGAAACAAGCCTTAATCAACCTCATCACCAGAAGCTTAAGTTCCTTTCAAATCCCAAGCTAGATATAATATTACATCAACCAGAACAAATGCCTTCATGTGTGAAATTTCCCATTGTTTAGGAATCTTTCCAATCATGTTCGCTGACCAAAGAAAAAAAAAACTTGTAAACTAGGAGCCTGTTTAGCTAATACAATAGCATAATTATCAAACTCTCTGCAAAAGAAACAAATGAAAATGAATATTTCAGTTTCTTGTAATCAAGTGAATAGCTTGTACACAATCAGATAATACAATCAATTGACGTGTCTTTGATAGCTGCTGGTGAATCATCTACCTTCTGACATAGCACAAGCCACTGGACTTTGAGGTTAATCAATAATGGTCGATCTTGTCAAGCTTTGAAGAAATTGTAGAAGCAATAGCATTCATTGCTGGCCTACTTTTCAAACATTTTTGTTCATCCATAACGTCAATAGATGGAACTCTTCCATGTTGCGCAACAACAGACATGTTCACAGACCGGAAAGAATAATCAATATGAAGTTATTGAGTGAAATTTCTTGGTTAACAATTTATCCAAAAATTTGATCATCGACAAGTACTAATCATGCTATATGTGCGATCCATGTAACCAACAAATGTAGAGCCCAAAATCGGAGTCGCGATCAAGTTCACTTAGCCTTAAAATCTGCTATAATCACCCAGCAAAAAACAATGTAGTGTTAGTTTTCAGCATTGCATCAGTGAAAAAAAAAAAAAAACCCAAAGTATTGTGAAATACTGGCCTGAATGTTAATTATAATGCATTGCTGAGGGTGGAGCTATAGCAATAAAACAATTCCAAGAAGCGCGCGGAAGTCTACCTTTGGGTATGCTACAGCTTTGGAACCAATCTGCATAATCAAATAAACTTGATTAGAGAGCTTACTACTACAAGTTGTATAACTACCAAAATGTGCCAGGAAAACTAAATGAAAATATATAAGCATAAAGCCGTAAAAAAAGGAAAAATTATCTTAGAACACAAATAATATATAAGGGTTGAAAAGTGAAGACGAAATTAGTGCCTATACCATTCCAAATTCCTCAGCATCCCAATTGTCCTTCATCGAATCCACCCAAATGCTCAACATGACTACGCATCTCGGTGGTTCCCAAGAAGAACATGCTGGCCAAGTTCTTCCGATCCCTTTATGACCGCAAAAAAATTAAGGATCAGCATCATCGGAATCATATCAAACAACTCAAACAAAAAATAAATGCTTAAATTAAGTTTAATACCTTTTGGTATTCCATTGATCTGATTTATTCAAAAGCAAACTCGAGGGGAAGCCAATTGCATCGATACTTTCTTCTTTTTCTTCATTAGATTTCATTAGCAATTTCTTCATGAAATCCAGAGCAAATAAAATTTCATAAGAATCAATTTGCAAGTTTGTGTATCTAAACACATAATCTAATGGCGTTTTATAGATATAAAGTTTTGAGGTGAAAAAAACAATCGGTAGTTAAAACAACGTGTGCCGAAGTTTTATCAGATATTAGGTTTATGATAAGAAAATCAATGGGCTATCAAAATAATATATATATTTTAATTAAATGCCTCAAATTTCTTACAATAAATGACTCAGATTCATGAAAGTCATTAATCTGGTGAGTAGTGGACAAAACATAACATTTTAATATTCTTGAAAAATGTGGATTGAATCCCAAGATGGACGATAAAGAAATTCGAATCTCGAAATGATACGAGTACGACATATAACTGTTTTCCAAGTCTCATGAACGGATGAGATTAAACAACTAAAGTAATACAATTTGAAAGCAATACTAGCGTATTCCTTACGCTTGATGTAAGGAAACTCATATTAACATAAATATAAAGAAAAAAGACCAAAAAATACCTCTTGAATTTTAAAATGCCGAAATGGTGGTGCTCACTGTTTTTGCAAAGGTATTGACTATTCTTATAAACATTTTAACATGTGAACCTTATCTTTCTGTTATTTTGAAATTCAAATAGTATTTCTGTGTCATTTTTCCTCAACATGATTGATTTGATTATTTCCGTTTCCTTTCATGTAAAAAAGTCATTCCTTTTTATAGTCATAGAAACTAGTTATGGCCTTACTTTTCGTAACTTAAAAATAAATTAAAGCATATGGGTTGTCATGCTGGTAGCATTTTTGCCATAGCAAACCATTTTTCGATGCAATGATCTAAGAGGTTTGGTGTCTTGGTGAAGTTTCCCGTTATCATGGCAAATTGCAATACTTATGGGGAACAAAATTTGGGGTTTTTTTTCTTTTGTTTTTTTTTGGCTATCTTATTTTTGGATTGTCGAATTTGGTCTCAGAAAAGTTTTAAACGGTTCGAATTCTCGTTCTGATTTTTGATATTTTTATTATTTTAAAGTCTAAAGTGTTCGTTTCAGCCTCCACATTTTTTTCCAAAAAATAAAGGCATATACGTTTGGCTCTCTGAATTAGTAAATTTAATTAAATTTCAGTAATCTTAACACTTAGTTTCATTTATCAGAAAATAAGTAACATAACAAACGAAGATGATGATTGTGTAATTAAGCACTAATAAAGGAAAGAAAGTAAAATAAAAATAATATATAGTCTAAATTATTTAAGGATCCATTTTTTCTTCATACACTCCACCATCTTCATTGAAACTATTTTGTCCAAATTTCCTTGTCAAGCTCTGCCACTCCATGGATCATTCACCATTGCTTCTTCATCAATGAGTTCTGCCACTAAACGGTCTCGCTGCTGATTACTTAGGTATTGGCCGTCGACGGAACAAAATCGCTGCTTTCAAAGTTCAATAATTTTCTTATAACTTGATTTTTTTAAAAATTATATATGTTAGTTAGGTTAATTTAAAATTAGATGCTAGATGCACTACAAAAAATTCGACCTTAGTCGCCGCTGAAAAGTTTCAGCGGCGACATTTTGTTGCCGCCAGGTCGTTGCCGTAGCGGCCGTGGCTGAAACTTATCAGCGGCGACAAAAATAGTTGCCGCTGAAAGTGAATTTTCAGCGGCGACTAAAAGTTGCCGTTGAAAGTCATATCAGCGGCGACTTTTTGTCGCTGCTGAAAGGTGAGAGTTTACCACCGGGAAAGAGTCGCCACCGAAACATAAGAATCAGCGGCGACTAATGTCGCCGCTGATTGTGGCTTCAGCGACGACTCTTTTGTGCCACTGAATCATTTTTTAGCGGCGACAAAAGTGTCGCCGCTGAATCCTTTTTAGCGGCGACATTTTGTCGCCGCTGAAGCCATAATCAATGGCGACACTTATGTCGCCGCTAAAACAAGCTTCAGCGGCGACACTTTTGTCGCCGCTGATTATATTTTCAGTGGCAACCTAATGTCACCGCTGATTACCCTTTTTTTGTGATTTTAATTATTTTTATAATATATTAATTATGCAAAAAATTTTATTTATATTCCTGATAAATATTATCAAAAGGTTTAATAAAAATAAAGTAATTAACACACAAATATAATATATTAAATGATAAGATTTATATAACCATCAAAGTGTTTTTGTGTCTTTAACTAAAAAAAAAATTATTCAATTAAAGGATACATTACATAATGTTAAAGAAAAATTATGTAGAAGGAGGGACGCTAGAAGTAGGGGTATCTGCAGGAGCATTTAACTGCATCTTTTGCATGAAAGCAGTGAACTGAGCTTGTATTCTCCGTTCCATCAGTTGCTCCATCCTTTGTTCAAGTTGGGTACGCTCTGCTTCCATCTTTGCTCGCTCTGCTGCACGTTCTGCTTCCATCCTCTCTCGCTCTGCAGCAAGATTTGCTTCCATCTTTTCTCGCTCCTCTTGAAATCTTCTTTCAAACTCTTCATACAACTGTGTGCGTACATTCTCAAGTGAATCACTAGATTGAGTGTGAAGTCTCTTCCTTTGAGGCTCTGCTCCATAACCTTTTCCTCTAACATATCCTGACCTCTCATCAAGAATAGCTGTTAATATCTCATCAGAGGTCATTCGAGCATCACTCTCTAAGGATTGCTGCTAAACGAGCTCATGCATACGATCCTGCAGTGACAAATTACAAATTACATTAATGAAAAAATAAAATTATTTAATTAAACATAAAGGACAAATATTATGTATACATGAATCTCTTCAGATTGCGGATCCACCCTCTAACTGGCCATCTGCGGTCTTCCTAGTATGTGTTATCTCCCAAACCTGATCTGGGGGGGCAGGCTGTCCAGTGGTGGGGTCTCTCTATAAAGCATAATATACAAAAATAACAAATCTCGAAAAATAAAAAAAATTGATGAGAAAAATAAAATGTAGTGAAGAGGCAACTTACTACAGAGAACTCAACCTCTGTAAATGATCGAGGACCACATGTATGCTTTGTTACTTGTTTTGCTCGGTTTTGTGTGTTCCTAGCACTTTTGTTCTACATGAAATTTGAGGAACTACTAAGCATGTTGAATGATATAGTTATATTATCCATTTAAATAGTTAGTATTTAGTAAGATACCTTAAATGGATCTGACTGAAAATATGTTAATAACCACTCCCAATCTTTAAAACTTACAGTTTGAGGTGGATTTGCCAACCTTTCTTCATCAGTGTCAAATTTCTTATAGTGAGTATGCAAGTTGGTCTTCCAATTTCTGAAAGCATTTTGCAATGTAGTCACTATCATTTTTTGGAACTTCTCTTCATCTGTTGCAACAGCAGGTTGAAATTTTTCCTAAAATAAAAATCAATATCAACATAAGTACTTGTTTTGAAAGCATAAATAAACTAAGATATATATTTACTAAACATAAATTGTACCTTCACTTTTAAAATCATAACATCAATATAATTTGTGTAAACATTCTTCCATTCAACACAATCCTTCAAAGATATTGTGGTTCTAATAACATAACCACAATAATTAGCTAGCTCTCTTGCTCCTCGCCCTACTGCTCTTGTCATGTCATCTGTGAAAGTAAGCTCAATCTTTCCTCCAAATTTAGTCATTAAGTCCACATTGAGCAACTTATAAACTCCTCTACCTTTCTTAATTATATTAGAAGACCCTATCATTTAGGTGAACAAATAATACAGTCAAAAGTATGTAATGCTGATTAGTTACTTGTATTATATAAAAGTAAAGAAAATTTACCTGCACTACTGTTTTGAGTAGGGGAGAGTCGGCAGGCAATTCCTCAAATTGCACTTGGAGTGGTCGAGGTGAAATGGTAGGTCTAATTGCAGGGGTAGAGCTAATACCTCCACTACTTGTGCTGCCATGTTGTGTGAAGGAAGAGCTTCTCCCACCTTGTCCTCTCTTTAGCCTTGACATATCCTGTAATAATGTACAAAATTTAGATTGCTTTTTATGTTAATAAAACTACTCTTTATGAACATAGTACATATTAACAAAAATTACAAAATCTAACTTGTCAAGAATATATTAGTAAAAACTACCATTTATAAGGATTATAGTTTCATTCTGTTGAGTCCTCTGTGGTACTATCATTATCTTCTATTTCACCTTCAATGTCACTTTCTTTTTCAGTATCATTATCATTATCATCAAGCACATCTTCTTCATCACTATCTTCATGAACTAGTGAATTGGATTCACTATCATCAATAAATCCAGTCTCCATAGTATGAATATTACTTCTTTGTGATGGTTCTCCTACTTGAATGAAAGTTTGGGGTTGGACATCATCTCCACACAAGTCAATAAAGATATCATGATGTATAAGACTTGCATTTAAATTAACCACCAATTGTTGATAAGGCTCTTCATCAACCATTGCAATATTAATACCACTACCAACATTAACATTTCAATCGGCATATTGAACAAGTCACGTGGATTGTTTTGACAACAACAATCCAACCCGGTTCAACAATATCATCCACATAAAAACTTGCTCTGCTTGAGATGCTAAAATAAATGGTTCATTAGTTTGTAATGAACATTGAGTGTTGATACTTGTGAACTCATACTTATCCACCTTATATCCTTTGCCATAATTAGCGACATCCCACCAGTGACACTTAAACAAGTATAATTTTTTATTCTCTATGTAAGATAACTCATAAATATGATCTAACACACCATAATATTCTTTATTAGCATTAGTGTCATCACCCTTGGCCATGACTCCATCATTTTGAGTTTTTTTCCCTATTGCCCGATCTTTTGCATGAAAGCGAAATCCATTGCCTATAAACATAGAGTAACGATTGACCACTCTTGATGGACCAATTGATAAACTTTTGAGTTCAGGACTTACAAAGCCTTGTGTGGACAACGCTATCACCTATTAAAGAAGAATCATTTCTTAAATATGCATGAATATTATTAATATAAACTTCAAAGCTCAAAGTCTAGAACTTACTCGTGAACAGAACCAATCAGGAAACTCTTTATATTGCCTTTGCTCACTCATTAATCCCCGAGCTTCAAGTTCTCTCCTATGTTCCCTACATGTTTTTACACAAGTGAGAAAAATATAAATTATAACAAATTCACTCTTATTAAGTTAAGTTGACGTACTCTATGAATGGCCAAGTTTCTTCACAATTTTGGAGCACATACATTCTTGCTTGACAATACTCTTCATAAGAAAGAGAGACTGATTCAAAATGTCCTTTAGCTTCACCACTTTTCTTGAACACTGAAAGCTCATTACTGATATTATTATCATTGATGTCATCATTCCGATGCTGCACATTAAATTTAGTAGGAATGTCTTTCAAGTATCGTGAACAAAAGTTAGACTTTCATCTGCCAAATATCCTTCTGCAATTGATCCTTCAGGTTGGACCTTATTGCCAACATATGACTTGAGAGTTCGCAAATACCTACAACAAAAAGTCGAGCCTTATTGAATGGTTTTAAATGATAGATTATAAATATAATTGTAAAGTAACCTTGTTAAAGTGAATTACCTTTCTATGGGGTACATCCAACAATACTGAACTGGCCCACCAACTTTTGCCTCTCCCGCTAAGTGTATAGGCAAATGAACCATTACGTCAAAAAAAGCAGGTGGGAATATGGTCTTTAACTTGCACAAAGTTATTTCTATTTGACTTTGAAGTTTGTCAAGTTCTTCACATGTTAAACACTTTGAACAAAGATTTTTAAAAAATCTTCCCAATTGTATTATTGGTTCACATACTTGGGGAGGCAGTAAACCACGTATTGCAATTGGAAATGTTTCCTGCAATAGCACATGGTGATCATGGCACTTCAAACCAAATATTTTTCGCTCATGAATGTTGACACACCTTGAGATATTAGATGCAAAAGCATCAGGTACTTTTAAGTTAGCCAAGAATTTGCAAAGGGATTGTTTCTTTTCAAAGGATAACGTATAAGGAGCAGGAGGCTTATAAACATCATTACCATTCTTAATCGGGTGCAAATTACTCCTAATGCCCAAATCCACCAGATCATACCTACTTTTTAATGTGTCCTTTGTCTTTCCAAGTAAATCCATCACTGTCGATACAAGATTATCAGAAACATTTCTTTCTATATGCATTACATCAAGATTATGCTGTATCAACAAATTTTTCCAATAAGGCAGTTGGAAAAAAATGCTTCTTTTCCTCCAATTATAAGCCTTACTATCTGTAGGGCACTTTCGTTTTTGGCCTTTCCCAAATGATATATTACCCAATTGTTCTAATTGCATAAGTGCTTCATCTCCAGTTAATGGAATTGGTGGAGCTCTGAGTTCTTCTTTTCCATCAAATGATTTTGCATCTTTGCGCCACAGGTGATTTTGTGGAAGAAAACGCCTATAACCCATGTAAGATAACTTGCTCCTTAATGAAATGCAATGCGTGTCTTTGTGACAACAAGGGCATGCAAACTTGCCTTTAGTTGACCATCCTGAAAGATTTCCATATACGGGAAAATCGTTTATTGTCCACAACACTGCTGCATACATAATAAAATTTGATTCAGAAAATGCATCATATGTTTGCACCCCTACTTCCCACAATTGTTTCAGCTCCTCAATCATTGGTTGTAAGTAAACATCTATTTCATTACCTGGACACTTTGGACTAGGAATAAGAAGTGTCATCATAAAGTATGGACTTTTCATGCAAAGCCATGGTGGCAAATTATATGGTACCAAAACTACAGGCCAAATACTATATTGGCACTCATATTCCCAAAAGGTTGAAATCCATCACTTGCCAAACCTAATCTAACACTTCTTGGATCAATAGAAAAGCTAGGGTATTGTGGGTCAAAGTGTTGCCAAGCAAGAGAGTCAGCTGGATGTCTCAATACACCATCATTTATATGCTTCTCCTTATGCCACCTCATTTCTTTGGCAGTGTCTCTTGCCATATAAAGCCTTTGTAACCTAGGTGTTATCGGAAAATGCCTTAAGACTTTCTGGGAAATTTTTTTTCCTTTTGCCTGTTCAACTTCCATCTAGGCATCTTGCACTTAAGACATGATTCTTCATTTGCATGTTCCCCCCATTTCCACAAGCATCAATTTTATGGTAATCTAAACCCAAATCACGAATTATCTTCTTAGCTTCATAGGATGAATTTGGCACTAAAGCCCCTTCTGGAAGAACATCTTTTAATAGGGCCAACAATGCGTCCATAGATTTGTTGCTCCAATGGTTAAGACACTTTAATTGAAGCAATTTTACAATAAAAGACAATTTTGACATCTTCTCACAACCTGGATAAAGTTCTATCTTTGCATCCTTTAACAAGTCGTAGAACCTTTTGGCATACACATTAGGCTCTTCATTCTCATTTAATTCATTGTTCATATCATTCATAGAAGGGAATATGCATCACATACCATTCTTGTAAGGTTCTCCTCATAAGTATCATGTTCTGCTGTTGTACTTGAAGTCTCACAATTACTTTGACATCTAAGAATTTCCCCATGTAAGTCCCACACCTTATAACTATCCCAAAAACCTTTACTCAATAAGTCAACCCTGACATCTCTTCTCGCTTTGAATATAACATTCATACATTTTTTACAGGGACATCGTATTTTGCTTGTCACTCCCTTATGAGGGAATGCCCATTCGAGAAAACCATCTACTCCTTTAATATATCTTAGGTTGCCTCTATCTTTAACATCCAACCAACTTTTATCTATTTCTATTTCATAAAAGCTGAGCACTGTACAAATATCTCCATGTCTAGCATTAACAAAAACAGAGAAAAAGGCCATTTATCAGGAGAAGAAACCAAGGTTCGGCCATGAATAAAAACTCTATCCGTCCTGACTATATATCCATCCTAACTATATATCTGATGTACTTTAAAAGGCCAAGACGTAGAAGCGTGATTTAAAATTATTCCCCACATGACAGTGTATAAACAATAAACAGACCTACTAATAGGAGTATAAACAATAAACCTCAGTTGAACCATTTATCAGGAGAAGAAACCAAGGTTCGGCCATGAATTAATATCATTGCAGCAAGTAGATTATTACAAATAATAATCAAAACAGGGGAAAGCGGTTCTAGCTTTTGATGTCATGTGAATAAAAGACAATCTAAAAGTTTGATTAAAGGAAGCAAGATCAGGGCCCATTTTGGACTTTGATTGTAATAAAATCTATTAACTGCAGTAGTGTTCAAAAATTATTATTGGGATCTGGTCACATTAAAAGACATATACAATTACAGCCAGATTTTTTTTTCCAAAATCAAAGCTAGATCTGGTTACTGAATTTAGAATCAAAGCCACGACTTAAATAGAAACAAGAGAATCTTCTCACAGCAAAAGCATGGGTTAGGTAATGAGTTTAATTAAAAGAGTGAGTTACTTAATCTGTATTTTGGTAGGTTTTAAATTGTTTTGGAATGCTGAAGAGATCTAACCTGATAGGACGACAGAAGGGGACGCAACTGATCCAATGGAAAGTGAAGAATTACAACTTCCCAAAATGTTGCTAATAGATACAATCACAAAAGCTTTACACACAAGGCAAAGTAGGGATCTATATGCGTTTGATAGCCTAGAGACTTGCAATCAGTGCCATATTCATCATGACCAACATCTACAAATTGGCAATTATATCCAACAGAGACTTGTGAGTACCTACAGTTATAATAGCAAGCCTCGTGAATATGATAGAATAATTGATGATCATATCAGAACCAAATCTGCTATATGCTCTAAAAATCTTCATGTAGGAAACTAATGGCACCATACCTTTAAATGGACCCGTTGCAAAGAACAAAACCAATATATAGCCTAATCACATGGATAGATAGCAGCAAGCCTCCAATAACCGCTACAATATAAACTTATATGAACACCACATCATTAAGAAAGTTTTGACCTAATTGAGAGATGAATTAGAACCACATACCTTTTTACAATTGGTGCTAATTGGGAAATGAAAGAAATCATATGGTTATTTATACCTCAGTTGTAACTTGACATTAGCTAATAAAAACTTAAATCGTGGTATTATAGGAAAATAACATAACACCTTCACAAGAGGCCTCTTAGTAATCACATCACCGCCATCCATCTCTTTTCTATATAATAAATATTCAAACACTTAATACAAGAACAATAGAATAATCCGTTATTATTAGGGACATTACTTTTATGCAAATTTACAAGATCTACAACTAGACATGACCAATCTAGACTTTTAAATCGAAACTGAATCATCTATTGTTAAGCCTAAGAGAACAATATACATACATATATTCAAGAATTGAATTTTTATTCCACCATTTCAGGACCGAATAGTCATCGAAGGATGAATCTTTAATATCTAAAATTATATCCCTCATACAATTTGCAATGTAATTAAAAACCTAAATTACGTATATAAAGAGAAAAATATACCATAACATGTCACAGCCTCCAAGGTTGCTCCTCGACGCTCAACTTGATGGGCTTCAAGTCATTGAAAGAAATTTAATAACAAGAAACAATGAATGTAAAGTGCACATCATCATCATCATCATCATCATAATCAATGAGTTAGTTAAAAAAAAATTGAATAGCTTACAGATATGGAGTCTAATCAAATACATGCTTTGCTTCACTTCTCAAAAAATCAAAATGTTTTGTTTTGTTTCTTTGATTGTTAAATAGAATTGACTATATAAGAATATGTGTGTGTGTGTAAATAAATGGATGGGAAAACAATTGAAATAAAACAAAGGGCATTCTCATATATGTGTGTGCGTGTGTGCCTCCCCATTAATGTCATTCGGAGAACGAACAAAAAAGGTGTTATTGTTTAGGTAGGACAGATGGATTTAGTGCCCCCCCCAAAAAAAACATACACATATAAATGAAATTGTTGTGATTTCATACTCTAAAATGTAAATGGTTTTTGCTCTAATATAATAATCTATTTGAATCAGATTTTTGAAACAGATTTTTATATGTATAATAATCCCCTGTAATGCATCTGAACACCAACAACAATTATACATATATATATTCATTATAGCAACTCTATTTTTGAATCAGATATTCATTTCCTTAGACAATGCCATTTGGAAAACTGTTACTTGTTAAATTTATTGGTGCCAAAAGCAAAAATATTGCAGTGATTTGCCACACTTCAGCAAATTCAACCGAAACAAAAAAGGACAAATTTCAACAAGAGCCACATAGATTTCAGTAAGTACTTGAACTTTAGCCACAATTCAGTGCAAGATTTCAACAATATAAGATACACAAGAACAAAATTGTTTAACAAAACAGCACAAGAATCTAACTTTCCTCAACTGATGAACTATTTTTTAAGTTACAGCAAGAATCCAAAATGATTAGCATAAGCAAAAAACTTACTTGGACTGAAGCAACTGCTGTCAAAAGGGAAGAGATCATAAACAAAGACAGAACGAAGAAGGAGGCGAGACCCATCAAAGACCCATATGAACCAGCTCGAAAATGGAACAAGATGAAGGAAAGAGGAAGAAGAGATGAGGCAAGAGGTTTCTGATCAGACCCAACAGAGAACCGCGACCTAGCTTGAAGACGAAACAAGTAGAAGGCTAGACTCAACGAAGAACATTTCGGTCAGACCCACGAATCAGCTCCAAGATAGAGAGGAAAACGAGACAGAGGGAAGGAGATCCGGTGACACCCAGTGGAGACCACCCACAAACGGAGAAGAAGAGGAATAGATAGCGGAGCGCGATTGAGAGAAAAGGGCAAGAGGGAGGGTGCACCATATGGAGGGAATCCAAGTTTTTTAATAATTAAATTGGACCAGGCACCAAAAATTTAAAAGCCCAGCTTGGGCCCGACGCCATAACCAGGCAACAGTGGCTGGTCCACTTTGCACCAAACGCCGTTGATAGACAGACAATTAAAATTTAAAAATAAAAATCAAGTTTTTAATTGTATATGCTATAAAAGAAAATTTCTCATAAAAATTTTCAATTTGTAAAAAGAAAAAACAAAAATACTAATTAAAACTAAATCATTTGAGTTAAAAAAATTAAAGTTTTTGTCACATGAATTAAATAAAAATATAAGTAAAATAAAAATGTGTCTATTTCATATTGTTATTTTATGAGATGAAAAATAATTCAAATTTATTTTGAATATTTATGGCTTCTGTTCAAAATTGAACAAAAGCCATAAGCACACTTATGGCATCAGGTCTTGGGAGACTAGAAGCGAAAAGTATTTGGATAACATAGTACTACTGTTCCTTACATAACTGACACCAAAAGTAGTAGTTATATTTGTATTTTGCACTAGTGTTAGTTGACTTCTAAAGTTCACTCCTCACGCCACACACAAGCAAAATTATTTGTACATCTCATAGTCATCTATTCGAACAGCAACAATAGTTATATATATATATATATATATATGTATGTATATTCACTGCAACAACTCCGTTTAATAAAATGAAAGAAGATGTAGATGTAAAATATACCTTTTTGCTGCAAATCATGTCGTTATTTCATTGACGCTACCCTTAAAATTAGTCCTTCTTGCAGCTTCAAGCAGAGCTGAAACCCCAACAACTTGATTATTGGTAAGTGCTCACATTCATCACATTATATCAACATGATCGACCTAACAATTTTTAAGAACATGAAATAATCATCTCAAATAAATTTCCTTTAAATTTAGCTTAGAAATCAGTTCCTAATGAAATATTATCCTTGATCCTCATAACTATGTGAAGTTCATACTTGGCTTTAAGTAGATTTTACAAGATTTCTTCAATACCCACATATATCAATAGATTCCGACTATCACAAATCTTTTCCTACATTTTGCAAGTAGATACACGATAAAAACAAAATTAATTAAAAGTTATTCCATAAACCAAACATATCCACTCCAAGTCATGACATTAGAAGATTTCAGCAGTAAAAACATCTTTCAACAGACATATATTTCTGCAACTGAAATTGCAGAACAAGATTTTAGGAGAAAAAACAAAACCTGTTACATTTGAAAAGCTATTACTTGCTACATAAACAAAATAAGATTTCAGGAAAATTGTTACATTTGAAAACCCAGAGTTTAGCAACAGAAACAGATTTCAACAAACAAATATTTCAACAAGAGAATTCAGAACTAGTTTTCAGGGGGAAAAAAAAACCTGGTGCATTGACTTGCCGCACATCAGCACAAGATTTCAGCAAAAGTCTTACTTGTTAAACTAATTGGTGCCAAAAGCATAAGAACTGATTTTTGATAGGTTCACAGCTAAATTGGCTGGTATTGGTTCAGCAACAGAATTGATTTTTGGATCTTTTTTATCAATCACGCAACCTCATTCCTTTACTTTTATTGGTTTGTGTTTCTATCAAGTGAATTGGTTCAATGACCATTGCTCCATTTTTCTAGTTTGATCAGAATGTAGTTTTCGCATAACATAGTGCAATTTAATACAAAAAAGGACATTCGCATTCTTGACAGCATCCCTTCCTACACAACAAAAATTTGTACTCCTAAATCACGGTAAGGATTGGTCATCATGTTAGCAAGTATAACCCATTCAACCAAATAACTTCTCATCTCATTTACAACTGCAAAACTACCATTCTATGTACAATAAACAGGAGATCGTGGAAAATCCCACAGAAACAATTTAAAAAAAAAACCGAACGAACAGAGTATACGGCAATCACACGATTCTTTAACAGATCAAGCAATTTTCAGTTTCAGCAACAATCCAAAATGATCAGCAAAACTAAAATACTCACTAGAACCTAAGCTTCAAACAAATTACTGTCAACGCACAGCATTGAGATATGCAGGACCTAAGGCATCATCGACAAAGGTGAAGAAGAAAGAGCAGAGCAGCTTCGGTGATACCCAAAAGGTGATGAAGGCAGATTCTAAGTGCCACTCGAAGATAGATAAAGAAGAAGGTGAGACCCACGAACCTGCTCGAACCCAACGCGAAGAAGAAGAACGCCAGTCCCAACTGCCACCTTGAAGACAGAACGAAGAAGGCGAGACTCGGAACCAATTCAAAGATAGAATAAGCAGAAAGCAAGACGATTAGCTCGAGACCTACTAGACCACCCATAAAGACAGATATGGAGGAATGGGGCAAGAAGAACACAGCTGATGACCGAACTACCGAAGACAGAGGGCGCGCTGATGAAAATATGGAGGGAAGGGAAATTTTTTTTTAAGTATCAACCGAGTCAGGACTGAAGCCATAGCAAACTACGGCTGCTGGTCTATTATGGGCCAGACGCAATAGGCATAAAAAAAATTACATACAGCTTGTAGGAAAAAAAATTGCATACAACATTTGGTTAGATATATACTAGATGCTGTACCTAATATAAATAGATAATTTCTTAATTTTAGTTTGAAATAAATCAAGTTTTTAATTGTATAAAATCATTTAAAAGAAAATTTCTCATTAAAAACTATTCAGTTATTGAAAAAGAAAAAAAAGAATTAAAAAATATATTATTTCAATTTAAAAAATTAAAATTTTTAATGGAATTAATTAAATAAAAATGAAACCATAGTACGTAATAATGCATTTATACCTTATAGAAGAAGATGTCCTAATGTTATTATATGAAATGAAATATAATTTAAAATTATTTGGTATATTTATGGAGTTTGTTCAAAATTGAACAGAAGCCATATGTAAGCTTATGGCATCAAGTTCGAGGAGGTCAGAAGTGAAAAGTGTTGAAAGAACATACAACTTCTGTTTCCTGTATAACTGACACCAAAAGTAGAAGTTAAATTGGTATTTTGCACTAGTGAGACTTCAAAAGCGAAGAAGAAGATTGGCACACTTACAAGGATGACAGCAAGAAAGAACGCTGGAAGTGATGGAATAAACACAAAAATGGACGTTGGAAGCTAAGTCAGACGCTCAAAGCTTTTGCTGCGCGGCGTTGGGGATCGAGAGGGAAAGGTAAAATTTTCAAAAGATTGGGGCGGGTTAAATTGTTTTGGGTTTCAAAATGAGAAAGTTTATATATAAAAACAATTCGCCACCCTTGCCAAGTACGCGCGTGGCTTCATTGGCCGGGGGGAAATATTAACCTCCACCAGGTCCCCTGTTCGAACCAGTCAGATGACAAATTATTTTTAACCTTTTTGAGCCAAAATGAAAGTGTGAAAAATCAAACATGGGGATTTGTTAGATTCGAACACAGGACCTCCAGATTAGAATAAACAGACCTGGCCAGTCAGGACAACGAATTTGATTGAAACCATCAGCGAACAGAAAATATATATACATATAATATGCAACCGTATATGTTATACAAAATTTAATTAATCACATTTTAAATAAAAAATATAAATAGTAATAATATTTAATTAACTATATACACGATTTTATTATCTATATCTCTCACACATTTTTAATTAATTATATTATCTCCTTCAATAATTTTATTTCTCAATCCTCTCATACATATGTTCATCATCAAATATGATTATGTTAATTAAGTAAGCTCACACTAATTTAATTATAATAATCTCTCTCATATATTTAATTATGTTATCTCTTTCAATTATAATATCCTTCTCTCTCTCTCCCACACACACACACTCTATCCTTCACTACTTTCCCCATCACTCAAACTTGCTTACTTTCTCATGCATGTCTCCATCTCATTTCTCTCCCATGCACAATGTTTTTCTATTCCATCTCTCAAATATTTGGATATAGTGTATGCCATTTATATAAACTCCAAACTTTCTTCCTCTCCCTTTCTCTCTCAAACACCACATTATCTTCCTTTTAGTCTCTCTCTAACACAAAAATACATAAAATAACATTAATTATCAAAGTTACTTAATTACACAAATAAAAGATTATAATATAAAATTTTTACAAAAAATTAAAAAATGTGCAAAAAACTTTCAAAGTCGCCGCTGAAAGGAGATTCAGCGGCGACAATGCTTCAGTGGCGAGACAATGTGTCGCCGTTGAAAAGAGATTCAGCGGCGACCAAGTGTCACCGCTAAAAGTCGCTTCAGTGGCGATATAAATTGTCGCCACTGGAAGAAGATTCAGCGGCGACTTTTGGTTGCCGCTGAAAAGACATTCAGCGGCGACTCTAATGTCGCCACTGAAAGTATACACTTTCAGCGGTGACAACTTTTGTCGCCGCTGAAAGTTGCAGTTACAGCAGCGACAATGAAAAGTCACCGCCGTAACTATCACTTTTGGCGGCGACATTTTTGTCGCCGCAAAAGGACTTGACTTTCAGCGGCGACACTTCTTGTTGCCACTGAAAGTCATATTTTCAGCGGCGACTTCTTTTGTCGCTGCTGAAAGTCGTCACTGAAAGTTTAATTTTTTTGTAGTGATGGTAGAGGAATTGACCATCTAAACAGTAAGCTTTTGAAGTTTCATTACACAGCTTAAATTTATGTCGTTGAGATAAAATGTTTGTGTGTGCCTGTGTGTGCATACGTGCGTGTGCGTGTAAAGTGAGTTTCTGATTAGAACAGGTTTAAGGCAGAGAAAATAATGTGCTATCAAAATTGTGCCTTTTAATTTGGAGTTTCATTAAACGGCTTGAAATATTGAATACTGGCCTGTTATAGTCATAGCCACATGGCCGTTAGATACAATAAGAACCCAAATCTTAGAGATAAGCTAGCTTGTAATTTAAGGACAAATTTAACAAAAAGAGCTCAATTCACAAAAGCAAGTGTAAAAGAAAAACAATGTGGTTTGACATCTAGAATTAC